CCCAGCCGCTCCGTGGCATGTGGGATCTTCCCGGACCGGGGCACGAACCCGTGTCCCCTGCATCGGCAGGGGGGGGGGGGGAGGCACAGGGGGCGTGCGTGGCCCATGTCCTCTGCCCAGAAGTCATGTCCCCATTTTTGGCATCTCTGGCTGGGCAGGGCTGGCATCTCCACAGATCCCAGAGCAGATAAGTGGGGTGAGGGAAGGGGAGAGAGAGAGAGAGAGAGAGAGAGAGAGAGAGAGAGTTGTACATGCGTGTATGAGAGGAGAAGAGGAAAACTCTGAAAAATAGGATTCTGGGTGCGTGTGTTTCTATGTGAGAGAAAAAGGGGGAGAAAAAAAGAATGAAAAAGGGAAAAAAGGGGGAGACAGACCCCACTCTCCCCTTAAGGGGCCCCATCTTCCCTGCCATGTAGTCAGCACCCCCAGCACTGAGTCTGGCCAGGGAGGGGATGACCCCCGTTTGCCCTTCTCTATCTTGTGCTTCTCCTTTGCCTGGGTTTTGTCCTCTGGATGCCTGCGTCCTCTTCAAGAGGTGCCTTGTGAGCCCCTACCCCTGTGGCCCTGAGGGGCGAGATCAGTTGGAAGTGTCAGAATGAACGCTCCCTGGTCCCTCTGTCGGGGATGTCACTGAGGATGGGGTCACAGCCTCCTGCCAGCCACCGTTTGCCTGGAAAAAGAGGCAGACAGTTGGGGTAAGGCTTTAGGAAACCCAGCACAGGGGACAGCGCTGCCAGGGAAAAGGCCCTCCCATCCTGGTGAGAGGTGGAGAGAGAGGCTTCAGGTACTCACCCTCATTTCCCGAGGGCTATACATCTGGCCTCCCCCGAGGTTATCCCCATAGCCCCCTGGCCCCATCGAGTGTCGGAGTGATTCCACCTGCAGGCAACAAAGGAGGATAGGACACAGTGAGAAGCCTCAAAGGAAACAAAGTCTCATATCCTAAAGTAGGGAAACTGAGTTTGGGAAAGCCCTACTCAAGGCGAGATGGACCACCTGACCTGGGAGGCAGAGTAGGAATCTCCGTTGAGCCCGGGCATCCCCAGAAACATGTCACCGGATCCTGAGAGATTGAAAGAGCCGCCAGAGCCTTGGGGGAGCAGAGGGGGAATTAGGGAAGAGTGTAACAGAGCCTGTGATGGCAGGTGGGAGGCTCATCACAGCTCTCAGTTTTCAAAAAGCCCCCTGAACTAGCTCTCTGGGGGTGGGCCACCATACGCAAATTCTCCACCAAACAACATTGCAACACTCAGAAGGAGCAGGCTGTTCCTGAGCCTCCCCTGGCCACTTGCTGGAAGAAAGGCAGAAATAGCTTCACTAGAGTGGCCTCTGTCCCCTGATATCCCCACCCCATCTCAGCTTGGTCCCTCTCACCCCAGAAGGCCCCCTCTCTGCTATGATCCTGCCTAGATAGGAAGTTGGAACAAAAGCAGGAAGCGCGCAGAAACAGCCAGCCAGGGTGGCAGCGGGATCCACCTGCGGAGGAAGGGGGCGTCGGGGAGCTGGTGCGGCTGTGGCCTCCCTGGGTGACTGACACAGCGGTCTTGACGGCATAGATGTTTGCCTCCTCTTGGAACTTTCCAATATTTTTCTTATAGCGAATCCGCTTGTTGCCAAACCAGTTGGAGACCTGTGGGGTGTGGGGCAGAAAGGAGGGTCAGGTGGGAACCTGTCCCTCTGTAAACACCTTAGTCAACAGGATTGGAGAGCGCTGTGCCCCCAAAGCCCCTCCCCACGCCTCCCCAGTACCTGAGAGACGGTGATCCCGCACTTCTTGGCGAGCTCCTCCTTTGCCTCCTCACTAGGGTATGGGTTACTCAGGTGGGAGTAGAAATACTCATTCAGGACCTCAGTGGCCTGTTTGCTAAAGTTACGGCGTTTTCGTCTACAGAGGAGAGAGGGGGTGGTGAGGAGGATGCTGGTGTCCCGGCAGGGCCACCACGTTGATTAACTCCAGAGAGCACCACTGTCACGGGGTATATAGTGCTGTGTTGCACAACCTGGTGGCCCAGAGGCTTGGAGAAGAACTCGAAGGAGCTGGGGGCTGGGGGCTGGCCTGGGGCCCTGGGCCCCACCTGGCATCCAGGAAGCGGGAACGCAGGATCATGACGGCCTCGCAGGTGCTCTGCTTGAGCTGCATCTGGATGGCGCTGAACTTCCGGTGGATGATGCTCACCATGCGCTCCATCTCCTTGGGTGCCACCGGCCGCGTGCGGCTCTGCTCCCTCAGCAGGTTCATGACGTGGGTTGTGAACTCGTTACACGCCTGCAGTGGGGGTCCGTGTCCTGGTGAGGAGGGGCCCCTTGGCCTTGGGATTCCCCCTAAGGGCCTCTCCCTCCACCCACTCCAGCTTCCTCTCCTCACCTGCTCATACTTCTCCAGCTCTGAGTGGTAAATGTGGCGGATCTGGGCAAGTTTGCTGCGATAGTCCGAGTGTTCGATGGAGTTGTCAGGCGACACGCCGCCTCCGGAGGCTGCGGCGGCCGCAGCTGCTGCGGCTGAACCACCCCCTTTCTCAGGCCCAGCCACACCCTCTGCCAGAAGCATGTTGTCCAAGCGCATCAGCTGTGGGTCCACAGGCTCCTCCTCTTGGGAGCTTCGAATGCTGAGGCCTAGCGTGCAGGCGAGTGGACTTAGGGACCCAGGGACCCTACACCCAGCTCTCAGCCCTCCTGGTGCCTCCTGGAGACCCAAGTCTCCAGGCCTGGGTTCCCTCCCAGGCCCCCCCCCCCTTAGCAATCTTCCTGACCCACACTTTCCTCAGGGCCCCAAGTTGTCAAACTCGTAGCCCCAGTTCTATAGTGAACAGGGTTCTGTCCCCAGAGTTGAGGAATCAGAAGCGGGGACCCACGTACCAGTTTTCTCCTTGATTTCACACAGGACGCTAAAGAGAGCAGGCTTCATTCGGTGGCAGTTTAGGGCATGTTTCCTTGGGAGGAATGGGAGAGAAAAGTTGAGAGGCTACAGAAATGGGGGAGTGGGAAAGACAACCACAAAACGACACACCCATGAGGGTAAGAGAGGGGAGCCTGGGAATAAGGGAGGTGGCGGGTAAATCTGTGGTGGGAGAAAGCAGGATTGGAGGCTGAATGGAGTTGGGGGGTTCTTGGGAAGAGCTCAGCTCCCAGAGTGTGGAGATGTGGGGAAGCTGCTTGGCTTTGGCTGGACGGAGGGAAGGTGCAGCAGGTTAAAGGCACCATGGCCGGGTGGAGGTTGTGGGAGATGGTCTAGAAGCGTACAGAGGGGATTTGGGGAATGGCTGCAGAAATAAGAGTGATCGGGTAAATTTCAGCGGAAGGCAGAAGGAGGCTGGGGAGAAGAGTCAGAGTTTGAGGTGCCAGAGGGGACTAGGGGTGCTGAGCTGAAGTGGGGAGTTCAGTATAGAGGTGTGTGAAGGGTCCTGGGACCGAGCAGGCTGGGAGGCTCTGATGCTCCTAGTGTCAGCTGAGCAGGGGCAAAGGGCCCTCATGGAGAGAAAGGGTCACAGCCCTGGGAAGGGGTGTGGAGGTCCCTAGGATGAGGGTGGGCTGGAGAGTTAGGGGAGAAGACAGCATAGCTGTTTCTTAGTCTGGGAGCCAGAAGAGGGCTCTGGAGATGGAAAGATGTTCCAGGGGAGTGTGTGGGGGGGGGGGGGGGG